TAAACTGGCTCAACATTTTCAGAATATGCATCGGGTGAGAATCGTAGCAAGAATTAGGGAATTAAAAAAAGATACATAACAATGATTTGGTAAATTCAACAGAAATTATCAGTTTCCGTCCACCGTGACGCCATGACTGACGTAAAATCACGACAACGGTATTTATCGGGATCTCTGACTATTCCTCTTAGTTTCATTGAGAAAGATTTAACCAAATAACAGAACACAGATTGTCAGAATGTTTTTGTCACATTTATGTATCTACGGTCACTGAATCAACGACAGTCCCCTCGTAAATCCCGCCTACTGTTGTCAGTGAACACGCCATTTTGAAAAAAGTTGGCCTCCGGTAGTGATGTCATACGTGAACTTTGTTGTACACATTTGGTAATTTCTTTGAGGTGATGGTCCTTGAATGAAAGTAGACACGGGCCTTGTAGTTTTGTTGTGTTCGGAAACTGTTTTTGTTTGTCATTATTATGATCAATTGTTTGTTGTGACGACAAGGGTTTGCATAAGAGCTACAGGTGTAGGACTTTTAAGGGTCGTGTCCCTATTCTCATCATAACGCTGGGATTTGATAATAAGGGTTGGTACCAAGGGTATAAATCTGGCAAAGTGCATGTCACACAAACAGTTGCATTCCATTCCAATCATGTTTTGCCACCTGAAACAGAGTCTTTTTCAAGAAAGTGAGATATGGATTACAATGAATAACGACAGCTTATCAATCTTTAACAAGTTCACACTGAAACCTTGAAAGGATTAGATACGTTAGCTGTTTTTCAGCATGTTCTGCGTTTTGGGGATGTTCACGGGGAGGATGAGTATTGAATGAGTATTTTTGTTTGTGATAATTTCAAACAACATGTATTTAACATGGTATATTTCAATGCAATGTGAAACATCACACTCATAATATTCCAGCTCTGTGATGGCGGCCTGTTAATAATTGAGCATGGACCAGACAATCTAGTGATTGTTATTATCAGCAAGCATCCATGCCCTCAGGGTATGATGATAACTGTGTCTGACTACCCGATTCAAAAGTACGCAAACTGTTTTGGCCTTGTCAAGTGGTAGAATTTATGCTTGACGCCTTGTCATTTCGATTAAGAATATTTACATTTGTAGTAACTGTTTAAGCATTGTATTTGCACACAAAATCAACTCTTAATTTAAATTAAATATAATTTGACAAAGATGTCCTTTTCACTTTTTACCAATAAAGAAGTTAGTACCTTAACATGTGATTAACTATGAAGGTGTTAATATGAATATCAAACAGTAATTTGAAGTAATTTCTAAAATTATATTTTTAGCTCTTACAGATTTTATTAAACACTCTAATAAACCTTTATATTTTGAAACCAAACGCTCTCCATAATAACCATTTATTGTACATGTTGTAGATTGTAAAACATGTCAGTTACTTACTTTGTCGACTGAACAGGAATAAACAAGACTAATAATTACTCCAGACTTCTTTGTCTCATACAAACAAACATTCAAACAATGACAAAGACATTTGGCTCATTGCCCTTGCCTTGCAATTATTAAACAGACCATCGGCACTAAATACTACTTGAAGTTTTATCTTTCTTAATGTTTTCTGATTATGTTATCAAATAGTAATGTAAAAACGTCAAGTTTGTATACATTTCAAGTGATATCCGCCTCAAGGGTCGGAACATACATATTACCTGCATCTTTTGGCTTGCTGATTGTTATATGGGCAGCTATATGAATTCCGAGACAAAAGCTTGTTTTGTTTGGAACAAACAGTATAACCTAATTGACCAGTTTTGCAGCAGTTATAATGCAATGGCCAAACCATTTCCTCTTGGGGAACACTTGGTATATTCCGTATCTATTGCCATGTTAGGGCAGGAATATTATTAAAGATATGTGAATGGTGGCATTAGTGTACCCACTTATTCAATATGTGACACTTACTTGTTTTTGAAAATAATAATCAAGTACAATGATGTTTGTTGTTTGTGTCAGTGTATTTAACTTAAATCATGAATCTGTTACTTGTTTCTCTGTGCTTTTACGATGTAACCCAAACTTCCTTGGGTATAATAAATATTATCTTATTCATATCTTTTCTGAACTAAGTGTCATATCAAGGTTATATATCTGTCAAAACAGTGTTATAAAATAGAAACAAATAGACTAGAAATAAAACTAAATACTGCATTGCATTAATCTGCATTTCAGGACAATTTAGCAATAATTCATGGAAAGATTTTGATCTTGGTGATGATCTTTTTGCATTGTCGAACAAGTGATTCCCTATATAAAGTATGTGTTGAATGACCCTGACTTTGTTGTCGAAAAATTGTTTTGACATTTGTTAAATATTGGACCAAGTACTTGTACCGTTACAAATAATCTTATTATCATCTCACCAGGACCAAAGGCCCAAGTGAGCACATAGTTTATGACTTTATACTTTTTCTCAGTACAAACAGGAAGTCTGAACATGAAATTTAAGGATATCATCATACTAGAACTGATGTTTGTTCCTTAAATACGCTTAACATTTAAAAAGAACAATATATGAAATTGAAAAATTGTCTTCTCCAAAAGTACATGCCCACAGATCTCAGCTATAAGGGGATATTTCAACTAAAAAAACACAGAATATTTCAACAGCTGTCTGATATGCCCAGACTAACATTGTTAACTAGAAACAAGAAAATTTGCGTCCGGAAACCTTCCGGATACCTTCAGCAATCTTCAATTTTCTTAGTAAGTTTCAAATATTTAACAACAAAATGCGACTTTTTAAAAAGTTTTCCGGAAGGTATCCGGACCGGATTCAAAGTGGGAAGGTTTCCGGAAAACGGAAACTTACACTTTTTTAGCTGTGACTTAGAAGTTGACGGATGACAAACGGACTAAAGATCTATACCGAAACGTCGGTATAGTACAGTAAAAAAATAAGGTGTTATCCATAAATTATCTCTACTTTCCCTTGACATTCCCTTTGGCATTCCCTTTGACGGTGACCCGTGAAGATCCGGGGAAGAATAGGTCTTCAGCAACCCATGCTTGCCATAAAAGGCGACTATGCTTGTCGTAAAAGGCGACTAACGGGATCGGGTGGTCAGGCTCGCTGACTTGGTTGATACAGGTCATCGATCCCAATTGCGTGGATCGATGCTCATGATATCAATCACTGGATTGTCTGGTCCAGACTCGATTATTTTACTGACCGCCGTCATATAGTTGGAATATTGCTGAGTGCGGCGTAAAACCAAACCAAACCAAACCAAAACCCTTTGACGGTATATGAAAGATATGTGATCTGGTATCACACAAATATGTCCCTTCATAACGTCTGCTGGCTTTCAGCTGTCACGCTTGCTTTGTGTTTCCAAGTCACCGAGAAATTCCCGTTTCCAAAATGAAACACAATCTTTTCTTCTCTACCCACCGGTGAATGCATCGTATATAATACCTTACTGCGGTTAGAGACGCATGAACGACCGTGAACATTCATCCAGTTATACTACACTTGAACAAGAACTAACGTACTAGAACATGCACCTCTTCTGTTCCGTCCCTGATTGTATTAGCACTGTACTGATCCCGGGTTTTGAAGTGGGGATAGAAATAGCTTGCCATTCAATTATGCTTGTCTTACGAGGCGACAAGATAAGGTGAAATGAAACGTCGCGTTTAAGATTATTTCACCTATGTTGTTGCTTGAATGCACGTGTGTGTGTACGTGGCTGATTGCACTTATCCGGACTTATGCCGGTTTTATAGTGCTAGTTTCTGGTCCCACATGTTTTACATGTTTAGGTCCAAACATGTTTAGGATGATGTTTGAGAGCTAAACGCGTTTGGTTCTAAAGGGGAGAAAGACCCGTATATCGGCCACACAGCAACACCGCATTCATGAACACTTTCAAAAATTCGGTGCGGTACGAACCTGCAACCTCTTGATATGTAGTCTACCCCTTTGCCTCCTGTGATATGGACTGGACCGTTTTCACGAATGTCAATTTTCCCAGTCACCATTAACTTCGGTTGTTTTATTTGTACATTTTTCTTTTTAATATTGTACCAAGTTCGTTGTAAGTCCTGGTAGCATATGAGTTAAACAAATGCTTGTGAATCTGATTTGCACATCCAATTTCAACATAAATTACATACCTTATCCATATTTGAATTAATGTCCAATGATATACACTCTATTTAAACATGTTTAAATTCTAAACATGTTTAGATTATTGGGATAATACATAATGAAACAAATTCTAAACATGCTTAAACACTAAACATGTGTAAATTGTAACCAATTTAAAATAAATTCTAAACATGTTTAAAACCTGTTTAATTTCAAAACATGTTAAAATTCTGAACAACTTTAATATATAAACATGCTAAAATTTCTAAACGTGTTTAGATCATGGGGATGTTGTGTTTCGGTGGTTTTTAGGCTCTGAGACGATAGCTCATGTCATGTTTTATACCCTAAACGTGTTTAGATAGAACACACGAGAACGGGTGTTGTATCGTAAAGACGTGTAAGTTTCACTAAGACCGTGGATCGTGAAGCACGGTAACGGTATAGCGAGACAGCAGTGGCACTATAGCGCGGTAATTGAGCGGATGGTAGAGCTCGAGCGCGCCCGGTAAACTGCAGTGTTGCCGAACACACCAAATGTGTATTCCGTTTAGAATTTGAATACATTCCGAAACATGATTAGATCTAAACATGTCTTGTATGTGTTTACATTCTAAACACATGTTTACAGTGTATCTACATGCATTATGTCAACACGACAAAGCGATTACATGTATCAAGCCATTCTCATCATAAAACCACCATTATGGCTCTGCTGATTTCGTCGTTCCAAATCTGTATAAGTGTGAAGCGAGAAACACTGTGATATTCCAAGTTGGGCGGTTTTATTTAAGAATTGGTTAACGGATCCGTAAACCGGAAAAATCGTGCATGTGCCGACAAAAGATAAACTCACCATGGCCCATAAACGTACCCACGCTTTACGACAGATAATGGACCAAGTTGCCGAGGCCAGTTCCTTTGTACAGCTAAACCGACATACCGTACTCTCAGCATGTGTGGTTTGTTTCAAAATGCGTGTAGGATGTGACGAGTAGGTACGAACTTCTTCGGCTGTGATCTGCTAAAAACCAAGTTGGAGATAATTAGGGGATGCATTATTTTGGAGAACTTTTTTGAAAATATTATATGCAGTAAAAAACGGCATCAACAAACATAGATAACAAATTTGGCCAATGGAAATGTGAGATGTGCGATAAAACATCACAAGATATGCGAATTGCGGCGTCTCAGACGACGGACCCAACATAATTAGGTCGAATCAGGGATTCGAACTCACGATCATAGGATTCTCGCACATTTCCAGTGCATATGTGCATGCCAAACCTGATTGCCCAGCATAGTTTATATATTGATATCCCTTTTAACCAATGCAATTTCCACAAAGTTATCTAGATGAATTAACGTGTCGTGGATTGGGGAACATGTATCCGATTTCAATTTGAAAACTTCATCAGCAAATAACACATTTTCTTTGCGTTTCTCATCTTCATTCACAGAACACATCGTTATGTGCCTTGCTGCTTGCCAGAGACTAATAACAAGACTAAATACGGTAATTCTGTTGCCAGGCTATGGCAGACACACCTTCAGAGACGCCCTATTTATCCACGTCTCGCTATACATTTACAATTGATTCTGTGTTTAAGATGAAACGCCCGACCCCTAGCAGAAGCATGTCATACAGTAGGGGGTGAATCACCTTAATCGATCGTGTACAGACAGGGTTTTCAGTAAGGGCGTCGAGTGTACAGGAGACGTATGCCAATATGAAGAAGCACATATTTCGTATATTTGTCTGTCTGGTATTTGTTTGTGGCGTTCTTATTGTATCTGTGAAACTGGATATCTTCAACCAGTCAATGTAAGTATATTGATAACAGTCCATATGCACATTTACTTACACATCTTCGCTTTTACCTCGTGCCATCTACTGGCTGCTGATACGTTCGTCACAACACCCAAGGTGGTTTATATCTCAGGATTCATGGTGGATACCACAAGATACTTACCCAAAATGCATCCAGGTAGTCCTATCCATTGTATCAACCAAGGGGCACCTTTGCGGATACCAAACCTTTTTAGAATCTTGGTACCCATCACGGGGTACCTTTGTGGGTACCAGGCCTCAAGAACCCGGGTATCTGACGGTGAATGTCTTCACAGATACTATTCTATGTTTTGGCCAGGTAGGAGACGTAAGGCGGAGGGACGACCACATGATATTCTTTGGGGAGGTAGGGTTGCGTGGGATTTTAATGACAAATAATAATATGTCCTGAAAACGTGGGGTGGTGGTAATTTGTTCTATGTTTCTATCCCCAAATATAATTCACTAATTGAATAAGATGGATATTCTGAAATATAGTATGTTGAGCTCTTCCTTTCACAGAACGAAATTGTTTTTAATAATGGCTGACTGAAAATACATTTGCTTCAAATAAAATGTAATTAATTTACCTAACTCTATTCTTGGCCCTTGACTCCCCTTTTCGATCAAGAAACCCTCAGCGATCATTAGGGCTAGGTACCCCTTTCAGATAAAACACGACTTCACGATCCTTAGCCTCAGTTGTGAGGGTGTCCTGTCATAAGTACTACATCCAATAAGAACTACAGCGTAAAACAAAGGTCATGGTATAGTGGTCAGGTGGGTAGGTGTTATTTACCTATAAGTTAATGGACTGGCCCGCTTTTCACTAAGAACTACATGATACTTGATGTCTTCTTATGCACTTTATTCACATACTTATATACATGATTACATAGCATTCATACATATAATTTAATGAAGTCAAAGTCAGCCATCTTTGCATTCAAGTTGACTGCATCGCTAGGGGGTTACAATAATCTGAGATGTTTCGGACATAATTACCTACAGTGGTACATTTGGTTTGATCATATTTTTTCTTCACAAAAGTGTGAAAATAGATTGGTAAACAAGCGAAGCGCTTATGTTAATACCGCTCCATTACACATAGGACATATTACAATAAATGCATCAATGAAGGTTAGATGCAACAAATGAATTGTAAATGCCAAGCTAGATGTGTATATATAATAAATCTTTTTGGAGTTTATATTAAACAATTCATTTAACTGAAAATCTGCCAGTTTTTAATATGAAGTTTTGAATAGAATCTAATATTAGGATTTGCTCTTCCTCACTCAAATACGAATTTCCGTTTAGCACTGTTTGTAAAGAATAAGCATGTTGGTGAAAATACATTTCATTTCGAAGAACATAGTAATTTGTACACACACAAAAAGAAATATAAAGCATCTTCGGAGTGATATCCACAGGAACAAGTTTTTGCATCAAATATATTTATCATACTGATCTTAGTTAAGATCGCTGCAGCCAAGCTTGAGGCGACTGTGAATAATTTGACATTATCTGCTTCCATAATTTAAATCCCAGTGTATACCATTATCTCCCTTTACGTGAAGCAAATTCGTAAATTGTGTAACGATCTCTGCCCCGTTAGGTTTTCTGGTAACATATTCCAAAGTTGTGTTGTAGCTGGTATAAATGAATCTGCATAAGCTTTTGTTTTACACTTCACTGTTTGAAGATTAGTTTTATCCCTTAAGTCATAATTTGTGTTTTCCGAAACTGTATCAAGAATAAGCCTACAAAGATATTTCAGGGAGAAATGGTTATTCATTTTGTAATACCTTACCAGTTTTGAATTGTGTCTTCTGTCTTTAAATGACTTACAATTTCTTTCATTGTAAATCATCTGATGACTCGTACCCCGGACAGCGCCACATGTGGTTCTAAGAGCATCTAAGTGTAGTTTTTTCCAATAAGTTAGCTTGTTCATTAGTACAGCTGTCCCAAATATGATAATCAAAGCTTGGTAACATAAATGATTTGTACATAGTTTCTAAGGTAGTTCGGGACAGACAATATTTATAACTTCTTATAACAATTAACCAGAGGACAATATTTCCTTACAATATCATCAATGTGCATTTTCCATGTACAATTACTTTGTTAAGTAATACCTAGGTGTTTATGAGGTGTTTAATTTCTGTATCATTCATATATAAGTTAGGTTTGCGACAAGGGTTTACTTTACGGGTAAATTGAATAGATTAAGTTTTTTCGGGACACAAATATTAACTTGCCATCTACCAGCCCATTCTGAAATTCTGTCCAGGTCATTATTGAGATCACGAGCAGCTATATCAGGATCTTCTATGATCACATACAAAGATGTGTCATCAGACAAAATTCTTATATTACTATTTATTCCTTCAACTATGACATTGATATAGATAATAAACAATAATGGTCCCAAGACCGAGCCCTGTGGCACACCTGCCAAGACAGCATTTGGATCTGAGCTATAGCCATTTATAACTACCTTTTGATATCGTTTTTCCAAGTAACTATCAAACCATCTCAATAAATATCCACAAATACCATAATGGTGTAGCTTATAAATTATTCCTTTGTACCAAACTACAATCCAGATTGTAGGTTAGTGAGCACATTATTATTCCTTAAATAGTTGTACACATGTTTAAATATACATTTTTCAAATATCTTTGCAAAACAACTTGTGAGGGCAACAGGTCTGTAATTTGTACATTCATTCACGCTATTCTTAAGAATAGGAATGATAAGAGCTTCTTTCTATTGTGATGGGAATATTCCTCGCTTAAGAGCGAAATTGAATTGTTTAGTAAGGATTGGGGCTAAACTGTAAGCTGTGTTCTTAAGTACTTTATTCCCAATACTACAGTGGTACATTTGCCTTTTCACTGCTTAATAACACATTTCCAGTGCACAGCTCCTCCTCTTACTGTGTTCTTCTGGTAACGGTAACCATCAAGAAAAACTTGTGGTTTCCCCCTCTGATGCAAGACAAACTCAACTGTTCGCACCCCAGTCATAATAATTCCTTTGTGCTAGACTTTATCAAGCTTTACTTATGTCACAAACTACAGCCCTAACTTCCTTACCTTTATCTAAAACCTTTGCAATAAAGTCACATGAATATGTCAACTGATTTTAGGCGAAGCCACCCTGCGTGAATGAAGATTATATGATTTTGTTTCTATTACTTTGCACTGGAGCGGTACTGTTTACCTATCCAAATTCATTAATTGAATAAAAATATGTTTAAATCATATTTTACATCTTTGACAGTTTAAAGCTTAAGAAGCTAGGGTGTGCGTAACTCTTTTGCATTTTACAAATTGAGTTTTGACATTTTGACTTTTTGTTATTAGTAGGAAGTGAAAAACTTCTGGTAAAGTGTTCCCTTTTTTAGAACAAAGGATCTTTTCAAAAAGTTTTATATACAATGGTAACACATTTACTTTTTTTCTGAATAGTTTGCCAATAACTAAACTTGGGGCGGTCGGGTAGCCTAGTGGTTAAAGCGTTCGCTCGTCACGCCGAAGAAACGGGTTCGATTCCCGACATGGGTACAATGTGTGAAGCCCATTTCTGGTTTCCCCCGCCGTGATATTGCTGGAATATTGCTAAAAGCGGCGTAAAACCATACTCACTCACTCACTCAAACAGAAAGTATACGCCCATGTTTGATGGTGGTTCAAACTGAAACAAACACGCAATGGTTTTTCGATGGTGATGTTTGTGATACGGGCATCGTAGCTGTGTTGGGAATCTTATCTTTTCAGTGTTTCGCGACTGTTTTCAGCCTAGTAACGCTTTGATAACGTTTGTAGTTGGTAATAGAATTATTATTATTATATTTGTTATTTCACATTTAAATGATACAGCACATTGTTTATATATATTGACGGCATATACGATAAACAGGCTATGGCAGGAGCTATGGGCATGTAGGCAGATATATTAATTTTTCGATATTTTGTTACGTTCAGAATGTGGGAGTAATGTTTGACACAGTCTATTTTAACACACCATGCATTATTTTAGGTGACATAAATTGAGGTTTGGGAAATCGTTAAATTTTCTCAGTGGAATATTTATTAAACACAGTTGTTCTTCTGTTTTTCTATGATCTTTCGAATAGCCGAGGCTCTTTGTATTGCTGTACTACAGGTTATGACCAATAATTTCAATGGCTGGTTCTTGGGATAGCCTAACTTTACGGGCCTGTATACTGAGCGGCTTATCCGCCGACTATAGTTCATTCCAAAATATAGCTATAAGTGACTCGGTTTATCCTCACATTGCCACCACTCTGCAGGGGATAAACACTTTTCGTGTTTACACAAGCACAGGGGCCATGTCAAAATCGCTCACAGTAGTTAATGAGTGCACTCAAACTACCTTCTGGCCAACATCAAGTGGAGCATACCGATACAATATATCCTCATTGCAATTGGACGTTAATTGTATGTGCAGTCCATGTTGTATGTGTTATATGATATTTATTTGTTTACAGGACTTGAATAATATGAAGGTGCAGAACACAAATATCGACTTTATTAAGTGATATTGTTCATTATATATGATAGTGGTCATCCAAGGCGGTCTATTTGTAATAGTTCTGTTAAAAGTATATGGGGACATAAGGATTTATTGGTAATTTTATAGGAAATTCATACATTTCTAATTTTGTATACAATTGTCTGTGAAACGTCTGTGAAACGTCTGTGAAACGTCTGTGAAACGTCTATGGGACTTATGGGTAACTGATATATGGACTTATAGGTAATTGAATTGAAAGTACATCGATAATATGATTTAAACAATATTTATTTCCATGAAAAAGGCATGGGATTGGTGAACAGGTTCAACCTGTTCAAACACCTCTCCCTACAAAGGACATTTAACAATTAATGAGAGTAAACTGTACATAAAATAATAAATTTAGATTAATTGTACCTGCTGTTGCAAATATTATGATGATATACAAGTATACAATACGATAATATCAGAAACACTAATAGTATGTATTTCTACATACATGGGCATGATTTAAAAACGATATTACATGGCAGAAGTTTAGTTAGCAGTTCTACAAACATGACTATTCTTAAATCAGTTCACGATTTCATTGTCAAGAGCAAAAGTTTCGAGTAGCTTAATTTTATGCATGTAGTAATGGAAAACTGCTATATCTTATTTCACAGACACCACTTGTATTGGCTTCATATATTTCATTTGTGCATTTAGTATGTTTATGTTTAGCACTATTTTAAATATAAT